TTTTTCATCTGAAACGTGCTGCGATTTATATTCCAAAGCCACTCATATAATGCAGAAACACTCAAGCAAGCAAAACACGCGCAACGCGTGCAGGTATTTGTACTGATGCAGAATGAGAGGACAGTAGTACAGCCTAGCACATTTCTCACAGGCTAGATTCACCTTCGCCTGAAAGTCGTGTATGCCTAAGGTTGAAAATAAATGATGTTTATAGTGAATGCCCCTATGAATGGTCTTATTTTTACGATTTAGTTTTAATCCAAATGATGCGTGTGCCAAGTGAGTGAACATCAAAGATCACACAACAGAAGTGCGCTCTCTCTCTCTCTACCGTTAAGTAACTTGTGCATTGTTTTTCTTACTTGTTTTTGACATATCCAACCGAACTACAAGCTTTCCAGTGATGTCTGTGAGAAAGGTTTATTCACTCGACAAGCTCGCGCATCTGCGCCGCCGTGCGCTCAATCCACTCAGCGTGCTTTGTTTATCAGCTCGTGCACTTCAGCTATACAGGCATTAATACTGAATGTTTAACGTTATATTCCTTGCATACATATACTTCGTAGTAGACATCCTTAACTCCATTCTGCTGTCTGTTGTTCTGTTGTCATTGTTTCTTTGTCTGAATATGGCGCTTATCACATGCTGTGTGGTAGCGGCATTTGGTATCGGGGCATTTTAACGAGTATGAGTATGAGTACATGAGACCAGTATCGGGCCCGATACCGATACCAGTATCGGTGCATCCCTACTTCAGACACTTCAAGAGAAAGTGTGTTTGACTCTTCAAGTCAAATGTGACTGGTGACAAAACATGTTTGGAGGTCCCAGCATCTTCAGATCCGATCACTCACATGACTCACAAGTTAGAGATTTTACGAGGACGCTTGGTAGCAAGAAAGCATAAAGTGTGCATGCATATTAAACATAAAACACACTTTTGAGCAAATATGTGCGGGTTCACCCAACTTTACTGTCGCTGGATGCTCTCGGTGAATAAACTAGTCTCAGAACTAGGATGGTTTGGCAAACAGTATAAAATGTGTGCTTAAAAGTGAGGATGTGTATTGAAACGTACTCCACAGCGCTCTTGTAGACGTCGATGGCTTTCTCTGTGTCGCCCTGCAGTAAGTGGATTTTTCCCAGCATCATGTAGGTCAGATCGTGTTTATTCAGCTGTAATGCCAAGTTTAATTGCTCTTCGGCCTGAAGACAGAGAGAAAACGTGTTTAACACAACATCAGCTGAGAACATGTGAATTAGATTCTCTCAAATAAATGATGACTGTCCACTGCCAAATCTGGAATCTTTCATACAGCCAATAAAAGACAAGGAAGAACGTTAAAAATGTACTGCAGTAATATGGCAAATACTGATTAAAAGCTGCACTTACACTCTTGAAGTCTTTGGTGTAGATGTAGCAAACGCCCAGATTATGGCTGATTTCCTGCAGGTAAAAATAATCACACATTTATGTAATATTTCATAAGCATCTCATTTGTTTATTGTCAAACAAAAGTACAGTTGATTAAAGAAAAAGTTCTCACACACACACACACACACACAAATAATTAATAATAATAATAATAAATCCATGTCTGTACTGCAGTAATATGGCAAATACTGATTAAAAGCTGCACTTACACTCTTGAAGTCTTTGGTGTAGATGTAGCAAACGCCCAGATTATGGCTGATTTCCTGCAGGTAAAAATAATCACACATTTATGTAATATTTCATAAGCATCTCATTTGTTTATTGTCAAACAAAAGTACAGTTGATTAAAGAAAAAGTTCTCACACACACACACACACACAAATAAATAATAATAATAATAGTAAATCCATGTCACACCAGATCTGTGGAGCAAAAAAGCTGAAATCAAAAGAATATACTATTTTCCGTATAATAAAAGTGAACTGGGGCTGTTAAGATGACTCTAAACTAAAATGTATACAATAGCAAATAAAAACAACTAACTAACTCATTAAATAAAATACACAAAAATATAAACCCTAACTCCTAACTTAAGAATTTAAAATAAATAAAAACAAAATAAACAAAAATATAAAGTATTAGCCCTATCCCTGCACTTAACTAAAAATAAATTATAATAATTAAATACTAAATAAATAAACCAATGAATCAATACAATAAAAACTCAGACACATTCTTTAAATAACCTTTAAATAAAAAAATAAAAGCATACAAAAAATAATAATAATTTTAAAAAAAACCTGATGATAAAAAAAACCTTAATCTTTAATATTAAAGTGAAAACAAAATTATAAAATTAAAATCTAATTCAAAATATAAACAAAAACTATAATAGTATATCAATAATACTCAAATATCACTACTAGTTTCACATACTAGTTTCAAACAGTGGTATGCTGTACACAGTATACTGTGATCCGTTTAAAATAGTTATTCTACTCTCTCTCAATCTCTCTCTCTCTCTCTCTCTCTATATATATATATACACAACAAGAATTATGTCTCTAAATTAAAATTTAAATAAATAAAATAAATATAATAAATAATAATAGAGTACAATAACTAATAATAAGTAACTAAATAAATACATAAAATAGACAAAAATAAAAAATATAAACCCTAACTGCCAACTGACTTAACCTTTTAAATAAATTAATATAAACACTGATCGTTTTTATTCACAATTTGTACAGTGTCCCAACTTTTTTGGAATCGGGTTTGTACATGCACTGTCATTGTATGTAAAAGAGCTGTGTGAAGAAATTTCCATGTAAGGGTCTGGAACAACAATAGAGTGAGTACTGAGTAAATAATGAGAGCATTTTCATTTTTGGGTGAACTAACTCTTTAAAGACACATAGATCAGACAGCACTCAGGACAGAGGACGTGTACTTACCCAGTCTTTCTGATTGAGACGTGCTGCTTCATTATAAACCTCAATGGCAGCTTTGTGTTTCCCTAACAGGAAACTAAACAGAGTAAACACAGTTATATAACACTTATCTTCAGCAATTTTCTGTTCAGTTTCAACAATGGTGGTGTGTGTTTGGCCTGTGCTTACAGGGATCGTGCCACTTGCTTGAGGTTGTCTGAGCTTTTGGGGTTGAGGATGGCACAACTCTGAAACAACTCCAGAGACTGCTGGATCTTCCCTTCTAACCGCATGATCAGAGCTGCACACACAAATCCACAGCAGGTTTTCACCGGGATAAACTGGGACACATTGACTATGTTTGGAACGGATCACTAGTGTACTGATTACTGCACAGTATGATGTGTACCGCATACCACTGTTTAAAACTAGTATGTGAATGTGAAAGTGTTATTTGAGTATTACTGATATACTATTATAGTTTTTGTTCATATTTTGAATTAGATTTTAATTGGTTTTCACCTTAAAACCCTTTAACTGTCACCCGTCCCCTCTGTGGGACGCCTAAATTTACTTCACTATATTACACTTAAATCCTAATCTAATCATGACAAACTATATATCGTTGGAAAGGTCTAAGACTCCTAAATAGATATTTTACCAATGTTTTTGTTAAAAATTATGTAGGAAAAGTAATAGATGAATTTATCACAAGAGTGCACCTCAAAAATCTACATCATAACAGGAGTTCTGACCTTTGTCAAAAAAAGTCGTCTTCGTTGCCTTTTTCTCGATCACACTTTAGAAATCATCAGAAATTATATATCAATTGAAAACTTTAAATCTCTAAATTCATCCTTTGAAACCCATTTTGAAATCAAACATTGCATTACCATGAAAATGGTACATCAATATCATGTTACAAAATGTTTTCGTTCATGAATTATACAAATGTAAGTTTGGATCGTGCACTTTCACATCTATGTTCAAAAATGTGAGTGACAGTTAAGGGGTTAATATTAAAGTTTTTTTGTATTTTTATCATTTTATTCAGCTTTTTTTTTTGTCTATAGTTCTAGTTAATTTTTATTTATTACTTTTAGTTTATTTAGTTTGAGTTATTGTAGTAATTCAATTTAAACTAAAGGAAAATTAGAAATGTTACCTTGGCAGCTCGCGGAAAATATTTATATATTTAATTTTATTTCATTAATTCTATTTCAAGCAATAAAACTGTTTTTAGTTGCAGTTAACGATGTAAAACAGTGATTTCAAACATTAGCATGCTACAATGTCACTTGCCATTACGATGCATGTTTAATTCAGCGAGTGGTGTCCAATTATCACACATTTTACAATATTTTTTGTATCTGGTGCATTTTGGCAATTGTAGTATGTAGTTTCGGGTAATTCATGCATATTGATATTCATAAACTATGTAGATGTAGCATGCAATTATCTAATTTTGCACATCTGAGACTGACTCAGTCAGAGTAATTTAATACATTTATACTGTTAGAGTCGGTTTAAATTGTAGTATGTAGTTTCGGGTAATTCATGCATATTGATATTCATAAACTATGTAGATGTAGCATGCAATTATCTCATTTTGCACATCTGAGACTGACTCAGTCTGACCACATTAGAGTAATTTAATACATTTACACTGTTAGAGTGTTGTGTAGTTTACACTGACCTTGCACATACACAGCATATTCACACATGCCTTGAGTTTCATGCAGCTGTTCTTTAATAATGGCCTGAAATCAGAAGAAACGCAAATCAATTAACATTATTAAGAGTATTATACAGCAGGTAGGAACTTCTGCTTTTACCTTGCAGGTCTCATAATCTTTGCGGATATAATGCAGATGTATAAGCCAGTTTCTCCTCTCCAAGATCGGAAGATCGGGAGCTGCAGATAGAAGAAAAACATCTATATATATATGTATGTAACGATGCACAAAAGAGTCTAGACATTTAAAATATGCCTGAGTGTCATTGCAGATGCTGCAGGGTGTTATAATATTCACTTTGTTCAATGTGATTGAATCAGCTGCTTTCAGACAAGCTTCTGTCTGTGAAATGTTTTGCTTGTGAAGTTGATTGTGCACCATTCTTTACAATAAAAGACACTTGCTTTGATATGTCATATGCAAGGACATTCAAACATTTTAAAGTGTGACTTAACTGTTCAAAACTTTTTAGACCAGAGATTAACGAGATTCCGGCTGTTTCATCTTGTGTAGGACATTAACGGGTCTAATCATGAAAATGCAAATATCAAAGGCGGCATTGAAAATCTGCAGAAAGCAGCTTCTATTTTGGATATAAAGGGCAGATGGGCTTGCTGTGAGCTGCAGCAGTCTCGCAATGGGGGGCCGCAGAAGACACCTCGTCCCGAATCCAGTGGGCCTCAGAACAAAAGGAGCCTGTCCTCTGCAACATGAAGCGTCTGCATCGTTCTCCTCTTGCTTACAAGCCCCCTGGCAAATCTGCTCTCAATCCATTCTATTCCTAGACAGACTTTTCCCTCTGAGCCATAATCCTCTTCACTGAAAAATGTGGCAGAGGGGGGAAATAAAGGCAAACAGCGCCACCCACAGGATGAACAGATACAGCGGCGTGAACCTTGAAGATGCTAGTTTGGTTTTGCAGAATATTATAATCCAAAACTGAATTTTTAAGTTATTTATATAATTAATATATACAGACTCCGGACTCTGAGATGCTGACCTTTCTTTGGACGAGGTTTCTTGAGGTCTGTGGCCACAGGCAGCTGCACATCCTATACAAAAAATTTTAAAATGTAATATAATAACAAGAGTTAATCAAATTCTGCGTGCTGGAATGAATATTTTTCAGCACACCATTTTTATATTTGCATACTTTTGTCTCTTTAATTCATCCTTTTACATGAACTCGCTTTCTGTCTTTTTTATTTTATTATTTATTTATTTATTTAGGAGCAGAAATGACCTTACTGTTGTGCATTTGATTAATTAACGCTGACTCATATTTTGGATATTTAACATTATGTAATGAGAAATCATAAGAAACTAATTTTCTGACATATTGGACACATTTAAATCAACACATCTAACAAATACCACCATGATTTAGAAATAATTTACATTAACATCACTTTACTTTTATTACAGTATTGACAATTTGGGGTATAATATGTGCGTAAGAATATGTCAGAATGCAAGAAATCTTAATGGTCCTAAAACAAACTTAATATTCTTTATGTAAAGCTCATTTTCAATCTTCTTTGACAGGCTTTGCTGTTCGAGATTTAACGAAATATGAATAAAAATATGCCTTTGTTATTTAAAACGTCAATCTGTCAGATAGTTTTCTCTTTGCGGAGCAACGAAATAGCACAATAACGAAGAACAGCGGTTATACACTATCATAAACCACCCTAAAGAAGATCTTTGTTCACATTAAAGGTATTAAATATCAAGAGTTTTTGTGTTTTAATGAAAATAACCATAATTTCTCACTGTTTTCATCGCGTCGTCCACCATCTTGCTCCTTTCCTCCTCACTTCCGGCGGACGCTTCTGTCACTATGGCAACACCGCGACGTCCCTGACCACGTGACTCCACCAGCCACACGTTTTTTTTATTATTATTATTTTTTTATTATTATTATTGAACTTTCAAAATTACAGAATTCAACAGCAAGTTCTTGACACATTTCCTCACATTTACACATTTTGTAAGTACAAATTGAAACACAGTTTAAATAAAAAAAATGTTAAAACTTAAAAGATAAAGAAAAACGAATGGGCAACTTTTCGATTTTTTTATTGTTATTTTAAAGATTCTAAATAATTGTTTAAAAATGAGCAAAATTTGGTATTGAGCTACTCCACTTAGTTTGATTGATATAATTTCTTATAACAAAAACAAATTAATAATTAATATTATTTTAGAAAAGTCATATTCATTTGAATGAAGTAAAACAGATGATAAATTTAATAGGATGCAGTTCATATCAACACTTAGAAATTGTGACATCTCAGACCAAAACAAAGATGAATGAGACTCTCCAGCATACAAATAATTACCAGTGGTCAAGGCTTAAATGTTTTAACTAAAAACCACCATTATGTATGTACACCCATTACATATTAGACGATGAGAATTCTGGTCGATTGCTTTACTAGAATTATCGGACATGCACAACTTTATAAGACAAACTGATAGATAAAGTCTCTCTCAAAGTCAAACTATAGAGCATTGGTTTAATTCAGACAAAGGTGTGCAAAATACACAAAGGAATTATTTTCATCCAGCTCACAGCAAATCATCTGAAGAGGTTACACAACAAAACACATCGATGCCGAGAAGGGCATTTGGTTAAGATGTGAGCTACAGCAGATCTTTCGAACATAACATAATTAAACTCGATAAACTCAAGCACATTCAGCATGACGCGGCGGTCAAGAAATTATAGCTTGTGATTGTCAACTAAAAGCTTTACAAATAGACATGGATTGTTACAAACACATTTAATGGCCATCATTTTTATATACTTAATTAAACAATTAAACACACACACAAACAAAAAGAAACGTGCCCGGAAAAAAATCCTGTCTGGTTGGTTCCTTTATGCATTTTCATGCAACTCTGTAATACGTCACGTTTCAGGGATTTTAAAAGCAGTTTTGGGTCTAATGCACTTGGTACAATGGATAAACACACTCAAAGTGAAAGCAGCCTAAAAGGTGGACATACTGTATATACTGCTGTCAGTAAGATTGATAATGTGTTTTAAGAAGTCTCTTCTGTTCAACAAGGCTGCATTTATTTGATCGGAAATGTTTGGTCAAATAAACGCAGCCTTGATGAACAGATTAAAAAAAACATTTAAAAAAAATCTTACTGATCCCAAACTTTTAAACAGCAGTGCATACAATAATGTACTAAATGTTCCTTGTTGTACGAATTTGACCTTTCATTTATAAACCAGGACTGTAGGATTTAGTTGACATATCGTGTGCATAATAGACACAACAAAACTGAATCTGGCCCCATGTGTAGAATGCAATCTCAATATCACGGCATATAATTGATCAGAGGAACACCTTTAACCATGTACGTGTAAACTGATCCCAGATGTGTGGGTTTAGGTTAGGTTAGAGTCCCTGATCGACACGCAGGCTGTTATTAGCGTCTGGAACAGTGAGGTAAATGTTGACAGTGTCACTGAAGAGAGTATCAGAGCAGGTTTTTCAGCAGGAGGGGTTTGGCGATCTCCAGGATGTCCAGGTTGGGGTCCAGTGATCTGCCCAAACCCTCCAGGACCATGATGGCAAACACTATAGATGCGAAATTACTCTCCAACTTCACCTGCCACAGGAAGTGCAAAACACACATCACTTAAACGTCATAAAACACACAATAGTATCCAAAACACAATGTGTAATCACTACATCACAACGATATTATCATGCATTTTCATTACTTTGTCACATTAACTAATTGTGCATGTAAGATTTTTAACAAGCATTATCTCTGCTTTGTATGTTAGTATTTATTTTGCATGCAGTTCCTGTCTGTGCATTATGTAAATAACATTTACTATATTTTATCTCCCATATTTCTTGTGTACACGCATTCAATTATGTTCCAACCTTGACTCAATTATAACCTTTAAAAACGACCTAAGGTGGACCAAAACAAGTCAAATATTCACATTAAAATGGAAAAGCTTTTTATTACTACTTCCTGTTTACAAATTGAAAGGCTGCTTATTGGATTATAGAAAGGTAGGTGTTACGTTAAACAGCTAAGTGTTATTTTACACCGTTTATGATCTACTAACATGTGCTAAGATCAGCTGCTCTCACCTTGTGGTGGATCAGTAAACCAAAGACTTGAGACAGCAGCTGGGACACCTGAATCTAGAAAACAACAGACACGGTGTGAAACACAAGTCATGGAAAACAACATTATCAGTTTTTGCTGCCTAATATTTTTATGGAAACCATGACGCATTTTTTTCAGGATCTTCTTGAATAGAAAGTTCAATGAACAGCATTTACTTGAAATAGAAAT